ACAAGCTACCCTGAACAGCATTTCTCTGTGAAAACAATTGCTGCACAGATCTGGAGCTTAGAAAGACAGATTTTATAGGATAGGGCTTTATAAGACTCCAGGAGAATAGTAAAAAAGCTAAATCCAGAGATGCAATGCTTGGCCAAGGTGCATATGTTGGAAGCACTAATGCAGAAACACATTTCTAAGCCAAAATATGGTATTATTATGAAGAAGACGGTGTAATTATTTTACAGACTTCTGGCAGGGAGGATATTGCTAGGGAGTATGAAAGTCTGAAGGAGACAAAACTGGAAGAATCATTGAAATATTCATTGACTGCTAGACCAGAAGGAGGTATGTGAGTTCATTAAAGCACCATGGGTTGTCCATATGCTCCTTTGGCCAAGGCATGTCCTATCCCAATCATCAAGCTATGCCCATGTTCTGGGCTTCAGCAAGATACCAATATTGTCATCTGACTGATGACTGCACAAACCGCAAGAAATCCACAGCTTTAAAATGTGCTGTAAAAGCTCTTGGAGAAACAGCAGCCTTGGGTGTCCACTGAAAGACTTCTCTAACCTGACAGCTCCTTTAACAGGTTGCACAAGAAATCTGCATTCTCACTGGGTCTGCTTGACTGTTTCCTAAAGTTTGATTTGAAGATACCTGTGCTCTTGAAGGTACAGGCTGCAATTAGCAACAGTCAGTGGCAGAGACAGAAGAAGAGATCAAACAACACACACTGTTCCCTTGATAAATCCTCCTTTTCCCTTTTCAGCTTTGGTCCACACTCCTGATTAAATCATGTGGGCTGAGAACAATGTTTTTTAACAAAGAAACAAATTCTGTCAGAACTGGCAGCATTCAGATAAACAGCAAAAGAAGAAATAGCTCATTTCCCACAAAAGAACAAACAAAACCCCCTAGCAGGAGAACAACTTGAACCCCCAATTGTTGTGAAACTATTTTACCAGCAATGTCACAGAGCTCTGCATCAGAGGCATTAGCAAGGGCTTCCTCCAGTTCCGGCTCCAGAGTCACACTTTCCAAAACAGGATCCATTGGCTTCTGCTTGGGGATCCATGCTTTTCCTATAAATGCAAAGTGAGGTCACTTTCAGTATAGCTATAGCACCTGTTTCACAGCTAGCCATGCAGATGCGTTTCCATGCTGTGAGATCTGCACAGTAGAAACAGACAGAGGGGCCACAAGGGCATAGAGAAAAATTAGAGAAGTCAGCAAATCCCTTCCCGTTAGCTTGGTCTGAGTCCTGCTGCAATGTGAGCCAGGAGGCACCTGCCAGACACCTCCAGCTGTGGAGCTGGGATCTCTCACCAGCTCAGTAGGCTGCATCTACAGAAGCCTAACTGTACATTTGTGGCTGTTCACAGCATAGTACTCAAAAGCCACACACACCCTGACCTTGCAGTACTTCACTTCTTTGAAGGCTGCACAAAAGGGATGATGGTTTGCCAGCACTCACATGGACCACGACAAGCCAGTGGCCCAGACCCAGCACTGTGCAGGACCAGACTCACCACCAACACAACTCCTGCTGCTTACTCCAGGTGCACATTGGCAGGGCAGAGAATACATTAGTCAAGAGGGTGGAAAGGAGGTGGTGGAGGGCTCTGTCAGCAGGGGCAGCTTGGGGCAGCTGGTCT